CTTGCTATGTACAATGTTTTTTCATTTTTGGCCGTTTTTCCATTGCCGGAAAGCTACCAAAATGACCCAAAATTCCATTTCAATACCCTCTTGCGCTCAGACACCCAAAAATCATCGAAAAATGTCGAAGACACCACCGAATTCTGGTCTCGGTGCGAAACCGTTTTGGCCCCCCCCCCCAGCTAAAGCTGATATAGCGACTGCTATATTAACAAATGTGATTGAGCATTTAGTGTAGCTGTTTCCCCCCAATAAGCACGCCTTCACCGCCAAAGCGGTGTGGGCGGATTTGTTGAACTTCTTGAAATACAGTCTGACAATCTTTCATGGTGGGTATGGGACCCTGTTTTCCTTCCAACCTTCTACGTTTCACACCTACTTGTCACGGCCTCTGTATCTTGAGGGTCTTAAGGCGGAACGTTTCTGGCTGGCTGCGAACACTGGTGTTGAATCACCAGAATCGCATTGACACAGGGCAAGACCGGTTTTCCACTGAAACGGCCAGTGGTGACCAAGTTGGCACAAGACTTTTGCAACCAGTCTCACACATTTTCGGGGATAAATTTCAGAAAACTTGGTTCGAAGAACTGAATGGCCATGAACTTGTGTCGATCCCTCAAGGTGTTGATGATCATGATTCTTTTTACATGTTCGACCATGGAGTGCACGAAACAAGGGCTCATGAGTAGTGACTACTTGCATTCCCTTCTTCATATGAAGTTGGTTGACTGGGTCTCTGAGTTCACCGGCTTCGCACATGTCGAATTGACTTACCTGGGTATGTTGGTGAATTTCATTGAGACCTGGATGAAGCAACATCAGGGATTTTTGGGGCTGCTCCCAACTGAAGTGAAGTCCTCTAGATATATACTTGATATCGATACAGAACAACACCCAGGGCAATCTGATATCGCAAATCACTACGTTGTTGTTGATACTCCCATTGCGACTCCAGAGACCTACTAGCATTCAGGGCAGACCAAGACGACCATGGACCACAAACTGGACTATACCATAAATGTTTCGGTCTATGACTGGCTATCATCTGGAACAGCTTCTGCCGGCCACCGATGGTGGCGAGGTCGCCCTGTGCAAGGCCAAACCTAAAAGCCTGATGTCCCATGTTCTGGACCTGCTGCGTCAGAGGTGATGCATCACTGCAAAACACTTCACCCAACATGAAAGGTTTGCCTAAGGGCTTGCTGGATGATAACACTCTTTCAAGTTCCTGAGTGAATTTTCGAATCATCTGATGCAGTTCCTGAACATCTTGGTGCATGGCCAGACATGACTCGGCTACCGTCTCACTTTCGGGATCACTCACGTCTACTGCTTCTCGATCTGGTCCTCCAGGTGCTTGATCACGCGCCCCAGAGCGTTCTCCATGGTCAGGATACGATCCTGAAGTGCAGTGAACTCCGGATCCGGATGGAGAGGAGTCGTGGCCGTAGTCCCCTGGTTGAACATCTCGAACTCCAGCTCTTCTTCCTGGTCGAGTGGAATGGGTTCTTTGACCCCAGATGGAACCGTGCTCCTGGCCTTGGCCTTGGCTCGGATGGATCTGCGTCCAGAAAGCTCGCCGATCAAGGCGTAGCCTCCGGGCACCGATTCCGGCGGTGGCAGCACAGGCACTTGAGTGCTCGTTCTTTCGTGGTGTTCCACCATCAATTCCACGAACCTGATCAGACGGCGATGGCTGAGGACTTTGCTGGTTCCATACTTCGACAACATGAAGTTGATCCAACCTTGATCTTCCCAGGCCGTCTCGAACGTTTCTCCTTGGTGTTTCTGTCCGAAGGTCACCACCTCTGTCTTCAGCTCTGCAAGGGTCAGCTGAGACAAGTCGGTCAGCGGCACTTCCACTTCGGTCTGAACAGCCTTCAGACGGGCAAGGAGAGACATGGCTGGTCAGTAGAGATCGATCAAACAGTCGGCAGGGATCTTGGACCGTGGGCTCACGGTGGTCGTCATTTATCTCATGGTCAACATTGGCTTCGGATGTTAAAACTTGGATACCTGTAGCCTCTGGACCTGCCTCTTGAAAATCCTTGGTACTCACGGATTCTGGCAATGGCATGCTGAAATCTATGGTTGATGGCTTGTCGGAATCCGAGGTTTCAGCAGCTGTTGCGGCAGTGGATTTTTCAGTGCTCAGGAAGGTTGCTTCGACAGACTTCGTGTCGGGCCTTCCGCATGATTGCTGATTCATGGCGGCCTTCACAACATCGTTCAAATTAAGTAGAAGCAATCCTCTTTCGGTGAGTTCCAATGGAATGGCATGATTCAGCATCGGGCTTGACAGGCTGTGCGAAAAGCAATCGATCTTGGCCCTAATGGCTCGCATGAAAGTGTTGCTGATGAGGAAAGGTGTTCCTCCCTTCACGATCGCTATTTTGAGTCGGAGTTTGCCTATGGGAACCACAATTGCCTGGCTGCTAGTCAAAGTACCTTGGTTTCCAAACTTAAAGGTGACTTCACAGGGACAACGGGTCAGCTGAGAACGGGTTTCCTCATCCAAGCTCTGAATTAAACCCTTCACATGTTCTGATCCTATGACCGTCTTTGAAGCGCCAAGGTCAAGTACTCCGTAGGCATCATGAGTTGCAAAACACACTGGACTAGTAGGTATTGGTTGGTGAGTTGCCACATTGTTCACCTTTTCAGCTGCAGCTACGTCACTGTTCACCTTAGTCAAAATGACCTTGGCACGATTGGACGGGACGGATCTGGCACTCACGGATTGAAACTTTCGGGTGTCGCTCATTCTGGCATCGTGTGTCGGCATCTGGCATCGTTCAGTCCTGAGAAGATGGCTGCGCAAACGTTCTTTGGCTGTGAACCTGCTGGAACCAAAATTCAGATCATAGTTCCCATTGTGTGATTCCCCAAGAATACGTCCCCTGTAACTATATCTGTTCTTATCAAAACCTGGTTCACATGTAAAACACAAGGCTAAACTTGGCTTGGGCTCATCTATGGAGGTCTCAGGCAACTCAAGGAACTCGAGTGGCAAGCTGCTGCTGGCGGTAGTGATCACAGTGGAGGTCGGAGCTGCAGTCTGAGCTTCAGTTGAGTTGGCACTTCCTTGGTTCTTCAACGGACATTCTGCCTTCCAATGCCCACGAACTCCACACAGTCTGCATGTTGAGGACATGATACATTCCTGCAGAGTCTTTTTGGGACGATTGTCATATCCCTTCCCCTTTCCAAAAGGTTTTCCACCAAACCCCTTTCCTTTTCCTGCAAATGGCTCCGCAGGGAAAAATCCACGGTTGCGAAACTTTTCGCCCAGTCGATGTCGAGCTTGCTGATAGGCTGAAAATGCCGTTGCTAATTCATGATCATCTTGAACTGTCTCCTGAGCAGCTGCCTCAAAATCAGCTATGAGCAACGCATCTTGGTCTCCCTCTTGGATCAAAACCTCCAAGAAATCAGCTTCTGCTTGATCATCGTTCAAACTGGTTCCTATGTCTGTTTCTGCAACTGCGGCATGGTCGGTGGTGGCCTCAGTCAGGAAGGTCGTGTTGTCGTAGATCTTCGTCCGGGTGGCCTTGCGGCCGGTCATCTCATTGCAGAAACTCGCCCCAAGGACCCTAATGGCCTCATGTACTCGCTTCATAGTGAGAGTTCCAGACTCTTCGCTGTCCATGATCACTCGTTTTTTCTCATCTGCCGTCAGTAAAGACCCTCGTAAGACCACATACGCTTGGATCTGATCCAGCGTCATCTGTCGGGCCAAAAGTCGGCTCCACATCACGTCAGCTCTGGCCAGGTAGGAGTCGTTTGCCTCGTCTGGCTTCTGTATCGTATGATACAGAGCCTGCTCTGCATCTTCATATTGGCGTTCTAGGGCAATTTTGCCCCACTGTCCTCCCAGGTATTCTATCAATTTCTTGATACTACCTTCATCTCCTCGAAGAAGCTCGCTCTGATGTATCTGCAGCTTTTGGAATGCAGTGCCTTTGCACCCCAAAATCAGTCTTGTAATCAGTTCTGGAAGCTTCCCCTTTGGCCATGCAGCCACTACCAGTTCCACTTTCTGCTGATAAATCAAAAGATCATCAGTGGCAGGATCGAACGTAGGAACCAGCGATGATAGCTGATTGCTGACACCTGAACCTCCAGCATCGGAAGTCGATGACATAGTCTCCCGGATACCCCCCTTTGCGGGGGGCTCCGCTACCAATGTAAATGGCAGCAACACCAGTTGATGAAGTGAATAGCAGCTTGTTTGTCAAAACCAGATGCAAACTGAATAAATCCCTGTCTCAAATGGTTTGCAATTCCAAGCTCCACCAAACGCTCCCCAAGCTGTTTTCCTCACGATGCCAGCTACAAGTGCAAAAGTCTCGACCCGACTGGCACAGGATATGGCTGGGCTCTCCGCTGCTTTCCAAGGAAACTGCAAGGACACCCTGGTCCTATTGGTGGTCCCTGCCACCTAGCACAACTATGGCTCGAAGGGCGTTGAGCCCACCCTGCCCGCACCTATGCTCGCCTGAGCCAACACGCCTCTCGGAGAGACATTGGAAAACTGCTCGTCATCCTGGGCATCAGAATGTACGAATCACACTGTGTATATATATATATATGTATGTATGTTTGTATATGTATGTCTGTCTATGTATCTCTGTATATGTATGTCTGGATATGATGTCTCTCTATGTATCTCTCTCTGTGTATCTCTCTATGTATTGTCTGTATCTCTATATATTATCTACGTATCTATCCATCGGTCGGTCTGTCTGTCTGTCTCTCTGTCTGTCTGTCTGTCCGTCCGTCGGTCCGTCTGTCCGTCCGTCCGTCCGTCCGTCTGTCTCTCTGTCTCTCTGTTTATCTGTCGATCGATAGATCGATTGATCCATTGATCCATCTATCCATCTATCCATCTATCCATCTATCTCTCTATCTCTCAATCTATCTGTCTATCTATCTCTGTGTTTGTAGAATCCTTAGTTGCGTCACTGAAGTTTGCAACGGCCACGGTGTCAAAGCTCCAGGAAGTGATTTTGTGACAGTGGACCTAACGGAACTGAATCTACCGCCGTGGCTCGGACGGTGACGACGGCTTGGATGGCCAATGCGTCGAATTTCGTCGGTCGATTTTGGCACATGACACATCCCTGCCTTTTGGGGACAGCGGCTTCACACCTTTCTGCTAATGGGGAAAACAATGTTTTTATTGTTTTTCAATTGCCGGAAACTATTTCTTTTTTTGGGAGGACGCCGCTTATTTGTGATGTTATTCAAAAGTCCAAGAAGGTGTGTCATCATTTCTTTGGGTGAGTCCATTGTTGGATCATACGAATCACACCTTTGTGCAAAAAGTGATGGCCGCCCTTTTTCTCAACTGCTCGCAGTTTCGAGGGTAGTTTCATGGCGTAGCGTCAAGTGCGTGTGCAAGTGCAAGAGAAGATCGTGTGCGGTGGGGTCAAGTGCGTGTCCACAGGTTATAATCACACCGTAACAAGAACGCGCAACATGAACATTATTGCCATACCCCACCCCACCCCATACGTGACCTAGAAGCACGTACATCGTACGCAAAAAAACATGCACGAAAACACACGGCCGCCTACAAGCCGTGGTCCAACTACCAAGTGACTTCTGAGCACTGAACATACTGTAGGTTGCGAGAGGTTTTTTCCACCATTTGGCAATAGACATCCTTAGACTATATATTGCTTGTCCACTTTGCAATTCCAGAAAACAGATAAAAGAGACGCCAGATGTGAATGTCCGACTTAGAAGATCTTCAATGTGTGGGAATATCCCCAAGTAGGGGCTATCCACTCCAACAGACATGGCCACCCTTGAGCGAGGATTGAAACGGTGGTGGATCAGCACGGGGCTCTGGGGATGATTATGCAGATTAAAGCTGCTTGGCAGACTTGGATGATCAGATCAAGCTGCAAAATCGCGAACCATCAGACTGTAGGTTGAACTGCGGCGTGACTCAGGTTGAGGCCAAGGAGATCCAACTGAAGGGCCTTGAGGGAGTTCAGGCTGTCAAGACCTCATGGCTGAATGTTTTTTCAGATGTGGTTGATTCGCAGATTTTATCCCAAACTGAGCCTTTTTCTGGTCCCAAAAGGCTATCATTGGTTCGTTTCTTGCAAAAGGATAAAACTGATTGGCTTGGAGGCCTATGGGATGGAGGCTGTGAGTCCGACCCAACTGCGCACGTCAGTGAGCCTGGGGAGTGAGGCTTGGGGCCTGAAACTTGCCATGGCTACTCTCCTGTATGGATCAATATCATTGACCCCCAAAAGTGGACGGTTTAATACAGGTACTGTACAAAAAAGGACCAATTTTGTGGTTCGGTGGGTACCTCACTTTTGACCCGTACACACTTTTCTGGGTGAATTATAACGATCTCACTCTGACCGAACCCTGGAATGATGGTTAGGGGAATCATCCCCAACAACAGCCTTATGTCAGGTTAGCGACTTAGTAAAATTTACCCATATATTTGACCCCAAATCCTACAGGAGGCGCCTGTGACCACCATGGCTGTGAAGTTGGCAATTACTGCTGAAGCCAAAGATACCACCAGTTCTGGGGCGGCTGCATCCCTGGAGGAAGAGGTGAGTGGGGGTTCTCAGAAAAGTAGGCACTTAGGCCCTTTGATGGGGAAGGTGATGGATAATCCATTGGATTCGTTTTTTTTATACAATAATTTTCGGAGAAAATGGTGGCACAACGAAAAATGGCTCGCGTTGCTGAGGCTTCATGGTGGCGGTGAACAAGCCCAGTAGCTCCATGCAGATCAAGGTCCCCATCGGATTGGAGAAGATGAACAACAGACATACACTGGCACAGTGGCTGGTGGAGCCCTGGCGTGATTGAGATTCGACAGGTCATTTCTGAGGGTGTTATTTTTATAATCTCAGGCTACCATTAGGCTACCAAGGAATAGGCGGAAATTTGATATTTGAAATATTTCAATATATGATATGATATATTTCACTATTTTGAAAACAACTTAGCCGAAGCCGAAATAGGAAATTCATGACCCAAATGTCACTGCCACGTGTGCTGAGGATACATTGAACTGTGGCCGCTCATTACTGGAAGAAGCTCCAACCCTGGAAGAGTTGAATATCAGCTTCGAAAGCCTCTCCAAGCCCTTGCTCCTTTGCGTGCATTGCGAGCCATGATGAGGATAGAATCCAACTTGGAAAGCTGGTTTAAGCAGTCGTGGTTGAGGGTTTAAGATTAACTGTTTCAGCACTTTCAGTCAGGAGCGAGAGCTCATCACGCAATAAAGATATGAGATGTAGATCATTTGGCCATGGTTTGTATCCAGACGTTGACACTTTGACAGCTCCTAAGGTCGTACACTGCCAACACTGAGGGGGAGCTGGAACAGGACATCTCAGACTTCTTCAATGCAATGGTCAAGATCTTCAACGCTTTGTTTGAGGCACAAGGGTTGAAGGGAAGCAATGGTAGCTGGAACCATTTAATTTGGTGAAGGCGGTTTGTTGGTATGGTGTGAGTACCTGCGCCAAAAGCATCGATTTTGCGGATGTCCTTGATCCTATCCCAAAGGAGAAGCTTCCTGGGATTGGGTGTTTGAAGGTTTAGTGTAAGACGTTTAAGACGTTTAAGATAAATGTGCATAGTCTGCATAGCTCATGCAGCGCCAGGAACATCTCCCTGGAGCCATTGCTCGAGACCTGGCAAAAACTGACGGCCTCGGGACCTCAGGAATAATCAGGAATTCTGGAAACGGAGGTAAATCACCAGTATCATGACATATCATGACTCCAGTCTATGCTCCCGTGGTTGAATATGCCTTTGTTCAACAACTGTGGCCAAAGTGGGATGAGGTGGTACAGGAACAGAGATGTGTTCTTTTGACACGCTGAGAGTTGAGTTCAGTACATGGGAAAGGGAGACATTCACAAGCTAAGTGCTTGGATCAAACATGAGGGACTTTGTGGTCCAATGAAGCCACAACATTGGATGAGTCTTGAATGAAAAGATAATGTAAGGGAGCCAACAAGTTCGTCACAATTCCAAAATGCGACCAGGAATGGCCACATCAGAGCAGGGCTTGGGCATTGCCAATGCCCTGCTGAAGAAGCAAGCGTCGCCGGCAGAATGCATCAGTGCAACAGATGCACAGGAGAAGATCAAAGGAGAGCTGGGCAGCTGGGCACCGGAAAGGTGTGAAGCGACCTCTCACTGAGAGATTGATGATTTATTTAGTCATTGGATTATTTCCTGATGCTCATCGAATTCCATGGATTCCTTCCTGGGCGAGGACAATACCCGGAAATCTACAGCGACTGGCCAAAGATGCTGGACGGACAAATGAAGCAATATGTCGACAAGATGGTCCATGGCCTATTGAACACAAACGAGCATCTCGTTTTGGCTTGAGCAGTTTACTCCTGATTTCTGTATGGAGATGAGATTGGGACCCAGGGACCCAGGGAGTCTTCCCCAACTAATACTTGGAGAAAGGGTCTCCCAGGCTCTGAAAAAATATGCCATTCTAGATTGCAAGTCTTTGGCTGGTGTACAACTGCAGCACTGCGGATTTCAAGGATTTCATTCCCTTCAATCTTGCAAGCTGAAACAAACACATTGGTTCGTCAGAAAATAGGGTACCCCAAATGCAGTGATTCATCATCCGTTTCTCATATTTTATCACTAGGAATTGCTGTTTTTGGATATTTTTGGAGTATAAGTCTGTATAGTCCTAGCATTTCTGGTTAAACCATGATGATCATCGTGTTAAACCCACATTCCATCATTTCCAGGTCAGTCTCAAGAACCGAGGACAAAGGCACCCGAGGGCTGGTTGGAGATGCCGCCAATCAATGGTGGCTCCTTCACGAACATTCACGTGAAGGTTCGAGGGGAAAGCAGCAGTCTGATAGTTGTGAGAATCTTGTCTCAGTGTTTTTTTTTTCCCGGTGGGATTTGTTCGAACTATCTCTGGGGGATTTTCAAGAAAACCGTGTGACTGATTACCAGAAAACGCCATAGGGTAGTTGGTTCGGACCCTGCGCTTAACCTTGTGTTGCGGAAAGAAATTAAAAGAAAGAACAACAACAAGGCCATTGCACCTTCGTATTTTACATGGACTGGCTTGATTGGAAGATATTGGAAGCAAGCCCACTGGTTTGCTTAATGTCAATCTGCTAGGCTGTGGTCAACTCCCTTTGCTGGATCCACTGCCAGGCGCTGAAGGCTACTGGAACACACCAGCGCCTCAGCAGAAAAAGAGCCGTGCCAAGAGGAGACGTGATCCGGAGAGAGGTCTGCAGAGTTGGTTTCGACCAGCGAAACCCGAAACCCGAAACCCGAAACCGACTGTTAAAGTTGGTTTCAAACTGCGAAACCCGAAACCCGAAACCCGAAACCGACTCTGAAGACTTAACTTCTCCAGGACCGATCGAAACCCGAAACCCGAAACCGACTCTGAAGACTTACCTTCCCCAGGACCGATCGAAACCCGAAACCCGAAACCGACTCTGAAGACTTAACTTCCCCAGGGCCGATCGAAACCCGAAAACCGAAACCCGAAACCGACTGTAAGTTGGTTTCGAACTGCGAAACCCGAAACCCGAAACCCGAAACCGACAGCGAAAGTGGGTTTCAATCGACGAAACCCGAAACCCGAAACCCGAAACCGACAGCGAAAGTTGGTTTCAAGCAACGAAACCCGAAACCCGAAACCGACAGCGAAAGTTGATTTCAATCGACGAAACCCGAAACCCGAAACCCGAAACCCGAAACCCGAAACCGACTCGAATCCGACTTTTGGGTGGCTCTCCGGATCGGAACTCGCCAAGAGGCAGGCCAGGTAGGCCGACCCAGAGCCCCAGTGCACCAAAGTGCACCAAGGCACAGGCATTGATGGGTCAAAGAGACGGCTGGGCTGAAGTGATGTGTGTGTTCAGTTGTTCAACATTTGCAGATCAGGCACGTCAATGCACCACGAGATCCATTGTCTGCCTGTGTCAGTTCGTAAATCGGGGGTTGATGTGAGTGCTATTGGGCAACCATTTCAGAACCTGATACTTCAAGATTTTGATCATTTTCAGTATTCAGCCCCATATAAACTCATACACACTGCTGTTTTCAAGGTTGCCAGATGTTTCCTCTTTCAACTGACTTCAGGATTACAGAGATGAAGATGCTCGAGACCGATCCGAAGACACCTGAGACGATCTCTTTCGGCATGACAACAGCTTGTCCCTCAGATGAGGCTCCTTACTCCGCCCGTGTGGTGATGCGCCTTGGCGATGATCCGCTGGAAGCTGGGAATTGGAGTCCTTCGTGAAGACGAGTGACTAGAGTCACTTGAAGGTAATCCTGAGGAAATTTGGACATAGTTGGGCATAGTTGTGCACATTTGGGCTGTGAAGCAAGTGATCTGGTGAACCCCCAGCGTTAAGGACTGCGGAGGGAACGCTTGATGTGACCGGAGAAGCCCTGGTGGAGGCTGTTTTCTTCGGAGTCCTTTCGAGCTGTGCCACTTTTGCATGGGAAATCCTGTGAGCATTTCCTTCACCATCGAGTTTTGCCCTAGACGGTGGAATTGTGTGAGATGATAGTGGGGTAACGAACAATTCATTAAGACAGATGCATCCGCGGAAGCCACAACCCACACTGCGGAAGATGTGCGGAACCTCTCGCGGAAGAGAATGGGAGTATACAGGAATCGTCAGAGGGTTTTGACATGTCAATGTTTTGAACACCGTTCAATTGCGCATGATTCATGCTGTGTTTCCGCAGGTGGAATTTCCTTGTGGCACCCTGGAAACGACACTGAACCTCAGCGTTGATACGTCCGCTGCTTAGCGAATCAAAAGGTGCTTTGTGCATGTGTTGAAGCAAATGCAGAAAACCAATTATCAGGGCAGAGCCTTGTGATAAAGCGCTCTATACGCTGCATTGGAAACCTTCTGTCCCTCCGTTCCTTTGCCCTTCTTGCTGAACTTTTGTTTCAACTTCTGAGTATCACTGGCTGTGCAGTTTCATCGCTATTGCTGAGGTTGGAGGCAGTCACCATGCTGATGCCCCCCAGCCTTTTCTGCACCTTGTGCTTTGGCGTCAGTTGATACACCGATCCACCGCGAATCTCCTAGGTTTCAGCACTTTTCAGCCGTGTCGCTCGGCAGGTTGTCCCCATTTAAGACCATCGCCGTTGCGAACCTGACCACGGCCTATCGAGGAGCAGGTCTGGAACCGCAGATGTCCATCTTCATGCATGTAGAATCTATGATAATTAGATACTTGTATATCGGATATATATATATATATATGATATAATGGGATACAATAAAACATAATGAAATGCAATGGGATCAGGAAGTTTAGAATGTTCTTGGTTGCAGTGGTCGCGTTTTGCTGCTGGATCTATGCTTGAACCCCTAGTTTTGGACGGCAATGACTTGTTGTAGTTTTCGAGTCCACAGCCCGCAATGGATGCGAATCTTTCTAATATCTATCATGCTTTCTGGGGGAAGGTGTTCGAACTCACAAGACTGCAATGAAGCAAGTGTCACAGATATGACGGATATCTATATATGGTTGGCATTCCGGATTTATGTGGCTGTTGAGATGTGATGCCTGCAGTTTTTGCGATCATCAATGACCTGTTTCACTTTTGTGACTACCTGTCCTGTGGTGACACGAGATCCACTTCCGCCAGTGACACTGAGGCAAGGTCTACGTGACCATTGCTGAAGGAACTCGACATGATGTGCTTCAGGCGCTTGCCAATAAAGTGATAAACCATGATAAACCCTATAATAAACCTACAAATTGGCGATGTTTTTTCACAATCTATTTATGGATACTATTGTGGATGGTTCGTTGTTAGGTTTGCCACATTAGGTCTCTTCCTACACAAGAGCACCGCATGGCAGCGCCAATGGAATTGGATGTGTACCCCCGAATGGGTTCTTGAAAAAATGATTTCAGGAGGACAAATGTGCCTATACGTATATAATCAAATGGACAACTTAATGATAACAATGGGTATATATATATATTATACATACATACCATTGATCATTGTTTAACAGTTGGGTCTATGACCGTAAATAATGATAAACTATTGATACTTACCATTGATCGTTATTTAGTCTTCATTAATACCAATCACTATCCATTAATACAAATACCAGCTACTGATGATAATCCCAATTGGACTTGGGTCATTCTCATTCTCGGTGCCAGGAGTTGTGCGGCAACTTTCCCAGGCTTTGTGCCTTGATGGGAAGGCTGGATGGAAAACATGGGAGGTTTCCTCCAATGGTGGTACCTCAATAGCTGGATAATTTATCATGGACAATCCCATGCGAAATGGATGATTTGGGGGTACTCCTAACCTCCATATGGAAATATTCTGATTAGCCACTGGATTGTTTTTTTTCCAAAAATGAGTTTTGTCTTTGACTCGTGGAGTTTGAGTTTCAGGATCGGTGAAACCTTTGTGAACAAAGACAATGCCACCCTTGTGCTGTCCTACCTGCACCAGGAGGGTCGAACCCGGTTCCATTGAGTCATGTGAGACATGGCAGTTGAGTAACTGGCAATTCATACTGGACATTTGCCACCAAATGTGATGGATGGTACCCTCTGGTAATTTAACATAGCTATTGAAAATGGCTATTAATAGTGGATTTTCCCATTAAAAATGGTGTTTTTCCATAGCTATGTTAGTTTACCAGAGGGTATAACAACAGAAGGTCCTCTTACATAGTTCACGCCGCGCTGCTCAGGAGGCAGTTGGTTTTTGCGACGAGATGATCAAGGCCAGCTCAGCTGTGATCAGAAAGATTCTGTGGTTTCACAGTATTATGGGCGAGAAGTGGGTTTGTCTGAAAATTGTGAACGCGGCAAAAGATATATTATTATTTATTTCACCAAGAGGACCGTGCGAGCAGTGGGGAAGACAGTAAAACCTTGAATCATATCTGATCATGTTATCCCTGGAAATTTGGGGCATTTTCAGACAACCCCCAGTAGTGTCACATTTTGTGTGGTGAGTTGGTGCCTCGACCCCAAGGCCAAAGGTCGCAGACTTTCCGATGACCTTGACATTCAGCGGGATTCATTGGGTGTTCCATATGAGGAGATCAAACGCACCGGTTGACCCGGGAATAGGTGAGGCAGAACCAGGAACATTTGCGCAGGGATGGGTAGGGGTTTAAAGTTTATTGAAAGGAGACGAAACGACGTCTGTTCTCTATGTTCTTTCTACCAGTACCTGCCGTGACTTGTGACTTCGCCAGGAGTTCAGCTTTGGACTCCTGTCCTTGTGGCTGGGCCTCCTTTTGAGCATCATTGGAGCTGCTGTGGTGGTTTGGTCCATCAAGTATATGGTGACTTGTCCCGCGAAACTGTGAAACTGTGAAGCTGGTCCCACGAAGAACTTGATATTGACATAGTCGGGTTTGTGCGAAAATAGGGTATCCCCAATTCCAATGGTTTACTGTATCATCGATTATCCTATTCAAATGGCTTATTGAAATGGCTATGTGGGGGTATACCCCATTCTCAGACACAACCAACCAACACCTTTTACTGCAGTTGACATCAGTTGGCACCCTCAGTTTTGATTTGTGGCCTGGTTTAGGACGAGAAATCCGTGCGCCGTGACAATGCATCGCTTGCAGTGCACATTATCCGCCACTATGGCATTGTCTTTGCATACGCAGCTTGGTTTGAAAAGTCGTCGCGGGAGCCATCAAGGGAAGACAAAGATTCAAGGCTTGCAGTAGATACCATTGGATAACATAGAAACGCAAAGTCACATCTACAATAGACACTTGTTCTCTTGTGCACTCATGACACTTTGTGTCAATATGCCGTCGTGATGAGAAGGATGTGGTGTGGATCCAGGAGAAAACTGAGGTGATCTCCTTGCTCTTGTTCCTATCAGTGAGCTTCCGCGACCTTGCCTGCAACAAACTCGCCTATGCCTCTGTCGTTTTGACCAACGTATACAAGCTGCTTGAAGAGCAATCAGTCACTTCCACAACATGGCACGGATTGGGCAGGAAAGATGAACTGTTGACCAGTTACAGGCAATTCTTCAATGCTGCAGTGTGTCTCCACTTTGCAGTTTCCCCTGCATCTACGGAGTGGTTCCATTAATCAATGCCAATTCAGATCTGACAGCGCAAGAATGGCGGACTGGAGGTTGATGTCGTGACACTCCGTTGTCACGGTCAGAAGTTGGATAAATAACCCATACCGGCCCATACCCCAAAAAGGGATCCTCAATGATGGTGGGATGACCACACTCCATTGAGCCCATAGAACTTGACCATGGGCAGCTACCAAGGCCTTCGAACAAGATCCTCGACACGCAGACTCTAGCAGTTTTCACCTCCTGGGGTGGCTTGGTTTCGGCATACTGTATCAGTTGGTGGCTTCCTAGAGGACCCAAAGTTATCATCCAAGTCATTGGGTCATTTGAATGGGCAAATGGCAAGCCAATGGTTTGGGGGTATCCCAGCTTTAGACGCTCGCAACTGAGGACTTGCGTATCAATTCAAAGAGGCCAACTTCTTGTTGGCCTTCGAGTGGGTCTTGAATGGTCTGGGTGTGACAATAGCTTGGTCCCAAGACATTGATTTGCATACCTTGGCGGCATATCATGCAAAAAAAGGGAACATTTTGCATTAAACTAAGCGAAACCGCGAAACCGTCCTTTGTGGGATGGATGAGCAGACAGAAAAGGTGCTAATAAAGCAGCCAGCTGTACCAACCTGTGGCTTCTGCTGAGGGAATCTTCGTGGTCTTTGCCCTGTCATTTTGGATCATCAGGTTTCCCTACACAGTGCAGCACATCATCCTTCGAGCCCTATCCTGTGCTGGGGGTAGGGGTTTTGATGCAGCTAGGCGTCTGAGTCTAGGTCCTCACTCAAATCTTTGGACCCTTGAGGTTTGCTTGCAGTAAGCTTGATGTCTCTAAGTTCGGATCTCTTTTCTGGATTCAGTCAATTCTGCTGGCAGCTTTCAGGCTGTTTCACACAGCTGCTTTACCTAGTGCTTCAATCATCTGATCTTCCTCTGGCTGTCCTGGTTGGGAATTGATCTTCCAGCTGTAGCTACTGTACCAAGGAGTTGCTATCTTCTTTGCGAGACGACCCTGGCAGGCTCAGTTGGGCGGTCAAAATCATCAACCCCCCAAAAACAGTTGTTTAATTATTGATTATTACCAGACATTACCAGGTTTGGTGGGTCTATTGAAGGGTCAACTTCAGAGATGCTTTCAGCGTTTTCCCGAAGTCCACTCGAGCCGCTCTAGCCATTTGATGTGGCGCAAGCTACACTCGCTCACTCGCTGCTGACAACGAAACCTGAGAACCTGTGACAGGAGAGTGCGACCTTGGGATTGTCAGCTTTGGCACTGATGCATGGCAGCAATGCACCCTGGGAGTTTTTTTTTCCCCAAAAAGCTGAAGTAAACATCAGCAGCCGAGGACTTCAGATTTGGAGCTGCCGGTAGATATACAAGGTCAGATGAGGACTGGGAAGACTTGACACGAATGGATGGTGCTGAGTGTCCGTATTGATTACTGTTGTTTTCTGTGGAAAACAATACGTTTGGTCTTTGCTTTGTGCAAGTCTCACATGAGTCAGTTCTTTCCAAATAGAACTTGATTTGCTTGCCCCCTCATGGAAATAACATCTTGATTTCTAAACTCGAAGCCAACGACTGCTGATGTTTTTTGTTTTCCAGGTTGAACATGTGGGCTGGACCACTCTTGGGCATGTTTTCAACGCTTTTTCTCACTGCAGTGCCTTGGCAGCAGCATTCCGCCGGAAGAGACTGACTCGCCTAAGAGAGGATTGAAGTTCAAACCTGGATTTTTCTGATGCACGAAAGAAGGAAACAGTGATCTTGAGTGCAAGACGTGTTGCAAGACATTAATGCCTCTATTCTACAGGGGTCACACGACATCAACGCCACCTCTTGTCTTACCTAGGCAGCCATCGGGATGTTGGTGACATTGCCAGTGAAATCCACCGAAACCGAAGAGGAAGGAAAAAACCGGATGATGCTGGTGGATTTAGCAACTCGACAAGATGAGATACCCACTTCGTCTCTGACGAATTTGACCCAAACTCCCAAACGTGTTCTTTTGAACCACTACATCACTTGGAATACAGATAGGCATGGATTGAAAGCAGATGCAACCTACTTAGTTACTTCTGTTTATTCTCTACAGAATTGCGACCTTGACCTTGACCGGGCCTCTTTATCAGCCAAGGTACTCTGTTCTGGAATCATCCTGGGGATGTTCATATGGTTCTTCTTTGACTTTGTTGAGGCAGGATCCTGCCAGCCCCTGCTTGGCTCCGTGGATCCAACTATCAACATGCTATGGATATACCCTCTGGTTATGACTAACATAGCCATGGTATAGATGGCCCATTTATAGACTATTTTCCCATTAAAATCTCCATTTATGGTTGGGATTTTCCATGGCAAACTGTGAGTCATAACCAGAGGGTATATGAAATGGTCTATGTTTGATAAGGCAAGGGTAAGATGATCTATGTTGATACTTGTTGAATATGGTTGACCATTGGTGACCCAAATTGGTGGTCAAAACAATCCGTTTTTGTAGCAGTCCAGGTGGGCTTCCGGGGGCTAGCCTCCGCGGTGCTGGAAACTAAGAGTTTCTCTGGAATGCAAATGGGCAATGGCAATGCTAGTCTGAGACTTGGCACCGGGATCAGCCATGGGAAATTCAATTGAACTAGGGGATATACTGGGATATAGTCATGTTTATGTAATGGGATTTCCCTCCGGGGCAGACGATTGGCCAAAGTTTCATTGGGAGTTTGGCATAGTTTGGCTACTTTTGGGTTAGTTTGTGGTTTCTTTAGGGTTTGGTTTAGGGTTTGCTTCAAGTTTTCTGGGACTAGTTGCTTGTTGAGGGGTTATTTGGGGTTGCTTTGTATGGGGGATTTCAGGTTTATTTCTGGCTGATGTAGGGTTGGGTGAAGATTTATCTGAGGTATTTACGGTTGAGTTAATTCGGGGTAGTTTTCGGGTTTTGCGGTTTGTTAAGGGTTTCGGTTTAAATCTTGAACCCCCTGAAATTACGGAGAATATGTTCAAAGGCGTGGTTCAAACGGTGATTTGGCACCACCTTATCTGCAAACAGGAACGAGACGCAGGCAATTTTAACTTTGCATGTTTGCAGTTTGCGAAAAACACGCGCAGAAGCAACACAGCAGATTGAATAATGGAAGTGGATTTTCTGTACCATCAGAAGGGGGTTCCAGAGTATCTAGACAAATCCATCTGGAGACTTTTCACAAAAAAGCAAACCCGTGGTCGGACTGTGGCTGCAACGACCAAGACAACATGGAATGAGGTTGTAGACTGACTTTGTAAGTGGATTTGAATGGAAAAGTAGTGGTGCGTGGTGCATTCAAGCGCTTAGAATCATGAATGTCCAATTGAAGGATGGGGATTCTGCTGAAGATTTATCAGAGATGGTAAGCAATTGGCAACACTTGATCCATTTTGCATGCCAAGGAAGCTCTCCATTCTCTTGGTATTCGTTCTGGCGCCCTTAATGCAGGCGAACATACTGGCAATACCGGCACAGGGGGAAACGAACATGGTATTGGAAATCCATGGAAGTCCCACCTTTTGCAGATGATTTTCCTGCACCGACCCCCTAGGGCATACTAGATGCCGAGTTCGAGATTGAAGGCATACTCGGTCAAGGGACCAGAAAATCGACGCAACAAAGACTGCGTGACTGCGTGGGCTTGTTCTTTGACATGACACCTGGACTGTGGTACAAAGGACCCCTTGTAGCACAAGAGTGACAGATCATCAATGATTTTCCAATATTTTCCATTCATATTCCGTTTGTGGGCTCGACCAGCTTGATTGCTTTGCATCCAATCTTGCCAAACAAGTCAGACGCGTCTTTCTCATCTTCCGACGGTTTTTGAACCTTTGTTGGTCTTCGAATCAATTGTCCCATTAACAGATGTTGATTCTATGCAACAGGGACATCAAAACAAGATAAGACCTCAGACACATTTGAATTTCGACATGATGTTTTGACCATGGTTTCCCCTGTAGGATTTGTACCAAAGAGTCCGACCCTTGACCCTGATGAGGCGTGCTTGGTGATAACTCGCGTCATGGGGCTGAAACTGATGAGTGCAGGTCTTCATCGTGCACTTGAAGAGGTCTTCATGAGTCTGGATACCCAACACAGACGGGAATCTGCACCGGTGCCGCAGAATAATACGATGCTTGTGGTGAATCAACAAGATTGGCTTCGTGACATGATCTCCTTCTCAGGTTTGAACAGCCTGGACATCTTTGCCTTAGCCCTTTGGCAATGACCGATCTGCAACAACTGAGAAAGACTAGCCACATTTCCAACTGGCTTGATTGCTCTCTGTGAGGGAACTCACCTGAGGCTTTCTTTGTGGGTTTCCTCACTGGAATTGATGGTTTTGCCTCTTCGTTCGTTAATACCGAATTTGCAACCTTGCTGCACAGTGATGCTTGTGTAACTTGTGTCTGGTTTTTTTGTAGCTGACAATCTCAGTACCCATTGAGACAGGGTGAATTCCCATTTGGCGCCATGGATCCACCCAAATTGAGTGAAAAGCACAGAAGCACTGCCGTTTTCTCTTTGCCAGTGCTTGGGCATACTAGTGTCAAGACAACTGGGAGTTGACATGCTTTGGTCTTTGCCAAGCTTCTGTTTTGTACCAACAGTACCAAACACCCTGACTTGGAGGCTTCAGAGCATAGACCGCATCCGAAAAAAAACTCTGCAGACACAAGACCTGTGTTGGCCGGGCATCTCCGTAGCTGAGGCTCCACTGTGTCAAGCAACGCAATTTGTGGCGGGTCTTCCCTGCATCGGGGTCAACGCCAAGACTGCGACTTTCGGGACAACGCTGCGCAGGGAAGCTAGGGCTTTTCTGTAGGCAAGTATGGTCATCAGTCATCGAGCACATTTGGCGCCTGCAGACCAATCCAAAAGACATATGGATACTATGACATACATTATAAATATTTATAAATTATAAACGTGGTTTCCCATTCTGCGCTCTTATGCTGCAAATCTGGAAGTCCAAGCTTCAGCAACACATAAAGTATACGTAGTAGGTTTGGAGGTCAAACTTGTCATCCTCCCAAAATGTAAAGATTTTTGTTGATATCTTGAAGAATCTTAAGCATATGCTTTGTTTTATCATAGTGGGTCCATTGGTCTCCATTGGTCACCCCATCACAGGACCATAGGCTTAGCCATTGGAGCTGCCTGCAGCCTGGGACTCTACATTCGTTGCTTGGATCGACATGGCCATGGCACAAAGTTACATTGACCGTTCGGAGACTTCAGGAAGAACTGAAATTTATACCACCAAATGCTCAAACTGATTGATATCTAGTTTTTAGAGAGGTTACTAAACTATACTAAACTGAAAAATGATCCAAAATTGGTGGGTCCATTGGACCCCATGTTAGGTCGCCATAGCAAGACTCAGCTGTTGAGAAGTTGCCTCAGCTGCTCAGGCTCTTCGATCGAGTTCCATGGATTAGTGGCAAGACCTGTAAGGACAGCGCTGGTCGGTGTCTGAAACCGGGGTATGTCCCCAAGTTATGGCAATGTTTTACTTGGGGAAAGTATCATTTGATGTCAGCAAAAGTGGATTTTGGGCTTTTGCAGAATTTGCCACAGGGCTGCCTGCTAATCGTCTCAGGAGGAGAGATGTGGAATCTGACGGACAAGCTACAGCAGTGGAGCTGCAGTGAAATGTCAATCTGTAGCGAAGCCGAAGCACTGCCCTTGTAGAGGAAACCATTCCTGCCCGGCCCCACACGACCATTGCAAGTTGGCCACGGAATTATGTATATATATATATATATTATATATATATGACAGGAAGCGCAGCCGTTGACTGCCACCTTTGTTGCGGTATGGTTTTAAAGTGGACCCGTCTGATTGCTGTGCTGCTCAAGGCATGAGGGATGTAGCGCTGTCCATCAGACACTAAAGTAATTATACAGAAAGGATATTACTAAACTTATGCACAAATAAACAATCTTAACTTAATTCTTCTTTTTATTAATATTCCGATTCATCTAGTGTTGTTTCCTCCAATGGGTACATTTCTGGTGCCGGACGAGCTCAAATGATAATGTCTGTGTACGGTCAGCGCGACCAACACCTGTATCGATTTCGAGATTTCGCGGAAAAGTGCTGAATGCCGATTCCATTTGCCACAGTTGTTATAGACAAGTTAGAGATGCTGCTGCTTTTAACAGAACCTCCTTACTTTGCAAAGACATTTGCACGACTGCAAAGCAAAATCCCAGCTGGTTTCATCTCCTGTGGAAGCTTGGCAGGTCGGTGTAGCCGCAGCCTTTTGCAGGGCAGCCAAGCCCCAAATCCCGCCCAGGGGGATGGGATGTATCAGCTGGTCGTGCTGGAACTGGAAAAAAATCCAAACATCATTGGAATATCTTAGTATCTTGGGCAACTGCTACAGCCCCCGATGAATCCCAGCTGAATAGGATCATCGGATCCATCCCAGCCCCTTCGATGTTCCCAGGCTGTTCTTGCTCGCTGCAGCGCTTCATCAGGCCCGTCACGGCCCGTCTTTCCGTGCAAATTTTGTGTCTGGATGCCACTGGATGTGTCCGTTTTCTTCGATGTCTTTGCACGACATCCAGGTCTTTGACTGGTGCTTCACATCTGGCAGAGGCTCTAACCCTAGTGTTGGGGTGTCTTTTTTAGATCATGTTCCTTTCAAAGGCGGGTATGGTGTAGCAGCTCTCTTTTTGTAACAAATGAAATGCCAACTAGGCTGGACAGACCATGGAGCTTAAAAAGCTTTCCAGAATCCCCTGGTGATGAAGCTGAGTGGTACAGTGTTTGAGAAGCAACTCTTGCTGGATCGCTGCAGAGACTTGACTGACGCCTCTTTTTTGTCGCAACTGAGGCCTGTCTGGCCGAAGACCTAATGTTGCAAGGGTGCGAACTGGTGGGTTGATTGGGCTTCAACAACGAACACTACCCTGTTGTCTCAATAAAGGTTTTCCAAAGGACAGAGTCCCCAGTCTTCCCTGCAAGAATGGTGGTAAACTTCCCCCCAAGAATACTTGGGGCTTCACATGGTGGTTTCCTAAAATCTGGGTACCCCCAAATCATCTAAAATAAGACAATTTTACTATTGAAACCCATGGTGACTTGGGGATCTCCCATTTTCAGAAACTCCCATATCAAAACCATCGACTTGCTGAGCCCATGACCCGTGCCAGTCAGTGGGTGACTTGGGCACTCCGCCGCCCAATATTCCAGGGCCAGGACCCAAGACAGCAAGACCCGTTGATTGCAAAATGGGTAGCCTATCTAGATGAAGCACCGCGAAAGGTGGGGAAAAGGTACATTCATATGATTCATATGTATAGTTGCAGAGTGTAGGTTTCTGCCAAGACAAAAAGAGAAACACAATTTGTATATAATTTAGGTTGGGGGCGAAAGGGTGCGAAAGGGGGCCGAAAAGCATGTGGAAAGAGCAATGTTCCAGAAGTGTTCCCCCGCTCATGATAAAACCTGCAATTATAATGGATGTGATTTTAATCGGTAAACCATCTATAAATGGGCCATCTTCCATGGCTATGCTAAATAACCTGAGGGTAAAATAAACAGCAAAAATAGCAATTTGCTGGTGAACATCCCATGTTTGATTTGATCAGTTTCACGATTTAACATTGCCATTTTCAGAAATCCCCATGGCCTTTTTACTGCTCAAATCAGCTTGACTGAGGCTGGAGCCTTCCCAGCTGTCTTTGGGAACAGCCTTTGCACTTTTCGCCATTCACTCAAATATAATGGTGCATGGTATTAACTAGTATTAACTAGTATTAACCAACCAACTAGATGGTATTCATTTTTGACCTGGGGAAAGATCGTTCGGCTGTGGGAATTCCAAGGTAGTGGCAATTCCAGGTGTGATTGGCACCATCCAGAGGCCCGAGGGATGCCATCACCAGTTTCAACGACTTCTGGTGACTTCTGTGTAGTCCTTCTTTTTGAAATTGCTGAGCCTCGCTGAGCAGGTCAGCACAGCCAAAGTTTGTAGAGAAGTCATACGCTGGGCGCCCAATGCTTCCGCTTGATCCTTTGGGCAGATTCGGAGAAGGTGGACGTGTCAAAGGGTACAGGGTATACTTGAGATGAATTGAACCCTGAATATCCTGCATCTTAGCTGCAGCAATGCATTTGGACACGTATCATCAAGCAGCTGATGAGTAAACTCGTAGACCTAGTAGACCCAACAATCAACCACCCCCAATTTTACCATAAATGGGTGTCCCAACTTGGGTGGCTTAGGTCATGCCTGGAACAGCTGCTGGCGGTCTAGAGATGCGCTCCATTGCGACTGGGACGTGGCAAAAGCAACCAAGAATTGTGTCAGGGACAAAACGGAAGGATGCCCTCCATATGGTCCATATGGTAACCCAGGATTTCTTGATATTTCTTGTAGATGTTCCTTGAAACCGGAGACAATGGGTACGCTTGGGCGGTTGGGCATGGCGTGCATCATCCTGAGGCTGGAGGAATCGTAGCCTACTTCACAGGCCGCAGTTCGGCATCTCCATGTTGTAGATGTCCCTTTCCTGCTTAGTTGACGAATAGATTGAAGAGACGGAAGTGCATTCTGAATGCAACTGATGATGACTGCTTAGTTCTGCTTAGTTGACGAATAGATGGAGGTGCATTCTGAATGCTGATGGATGAATTTTCTCCTAAGCTAACCCCATTAGGGTCCAGTACGTGGCCTCAGGGAGCGTTTTGAAAGAGGTGATGCTGTGCATTCAAGGTCTGTTCCAAATTACCCAAAGCATCCCAAAACTACAACTACAAAATTGACCCGAAATCTGAAAAATGATAGTAATTATCTACACTCAATGAAAGATTGTGATATTGTTTATGGGTTCCGCTAGTGCATTCAGCATCATTCACCCTTATGACCTTCCAGGCCATCAATTTTAACACGCGCTTCCTTGTGGGATTGGTAATTTTGCGTTTCGATTCTATCTTCTCTGATTAGGGTCATTAACATGATGCCTTGTTATGACATGAGTTTATGGCAGGTGATGTCAATGATGGATGGTACTGAAAGACTGAAAGAAAACTATACACACACAGCAACACTTTTGCCAATTTGCAGGCAACAACTACATGATGGAGGACAAACGGCAGGTCATGGATTCTATATATCAAGCTTTGTTGCCAGCTGCGGAGGAGTCACCACAGCAGGGCCGAATTCGCTTTGTGGGCCGCGTGCTTAGATCCGGTGACTGTGGACTTCTCAGCTGTGCTGAGCTCCAAGGCCAATTGCAGGGAAGCGTGGGTCAGGCGCACTAGCTGCAGATAGCCGTGGAAGGCTGCACCATGCTGCACTCAAAAAAAACCATGGTGGGTCAAGCTAGCTAAGCTAGCAAGTGGTGTAAGAATTATTGGACCATTGGAACCATTGGACCAGGAAAGTTAAGAATATAGTTTTAAAATGATTATTTCTGATCCTCAAGTACTGCAAGAGCCAGGCTGCGTTCCTGACTGCATGCCTGGCAGGACCGTGACCGTGTTTACCGTGTTTAGCCATGTGTCACTTGTGACCTTCGTACGAACTTCCATGGTTTGTTGCGACTCATTGGACCGCAGGAGCAATCTTTGGTGTAGCTTTGCTGCTGGTGCTAGGGCCCTACGTCCGTACTACGTCCGTACTGATCAAATCTGATCAAATATTTGGATGATTCTTATTTATTCTTATGCTTCTTGGATGATCTTGGAGTTCCTTGTAACTCTTGCAACAGCATCTCTTTTCAAACCGAGTTTCTAATGTCTACTCAGTCTAATCACAACACTTCTGCACAGTGGACCATTTAGCCTTGGCCCAGGCAAATCTTCCCAGATGGCCCGTTTGGCGTGGGTCCGGACTGGTGGTTTCTGCCAGTCGGAAGCTGAGAAAAACTGAGAATGCAAAGGATCGCATGGACGGATTAGTCATTAGTCGTCACATGTTGTCACCATGAACTAAGATCATCATCAGCCCCTCTGCTGGGGTCTACTACTGGCAACGCGCCTTCAGGTGCGTGTTGCCTTTGCAAAATCAACTCTGGCAGTTTGCAAAGAGGGCTTGGTCACATGGAAGAATTCTTTGAGCTACCGCCTCACTGGTTGTTGACAAGCCATTCTTCGCCAGGCTTCTTCTCTGACCCCGAAACATAGGAACGCCCTTTCCCCAGCCGCCCCAGCCCTTGAAGGAAGGACATTGTGGAGCTTCAACTGGGCATGTCCGATGACTTCATGGAAACCACCTTGCTGGTTCTGGGCAGCCTGGACTGCTCCGCTGTGATGCTGTTGAAGCTCTGACAAAGCCCTTGTCACTGCGATATCTTGTCATTGTTATCATTGTTTCCGGAATTTTCCGGACAAATCCTTGTTTTTTTGAAATATGTCGTGGCCAAATCACAACTTTACATTTTGTATAAGAATGAAAGCAGAAGTTGCTGTCGCACAAGATGCAGCAAATAGCTCACTACATCCCTATGGCGACTTTGCGTATGCTCCATACCGGGAACCTGGTCAGCGAGGACACGATTGAAGAGCTCCAGAACGGGGTCCGATTTCAGTGCATTGCTTAGGTGCAAGGGAGAGTCTCCCCTGCTAATTGACAAGAAGAAACCTGGAAGACCCAATCCAAATGGATCCAAATTGATGTTTCTATTGGGGCACACCCCAAAATCATTCCAAACTTTATATTTTGAAATATCTTCAACAGGGAAACCGATGGCTTGGGGATTTCTCACTCTTGAGAAACATTTGGCCGCCATGTTGAGGTCGGACACCGGCAAACTCTACAGATTGATGGAGAAGGTGTTGCGTGGAAGAAAGTGTGACATGAACTACTCGCCTGACAACTGAACATGAGTTTGGTTTGGCATTTCTGGTGTGTGTCTGAAAATGGGGTATACCATGGTATACCCACACATGGCCAGTTTACCGGGAAACATGAGAATACACCAAGGGATGGCTTGGGATATCCCATTTTCGATCCCATTTTCAGACCCAGAACTTCCACTGCCAGGGTATGGAGTTCCAGCCAGGCATTTTTGAGTCCAATGAGGCACAACATTGATATTTTCAGACAGCTTCAACGGAGAAGATTTCACTCTTCCCACCTGCAGGGCGTGAAGGTTTACAAGGAGAAGAGACCGCCACAAGAAGCTGCTGATGGTCAGGAGGCTCCAACCAAAGGAGGTGGATACATTACGGAAAAAAACTTGGTGTGCCCAAACCCTTGTTATAACATTATGTTATATTTTTATAGTTTTTTTTTTTTTTTTAAATAGTATTGTAACCGCAAAAAGGTAGAGCATTTGTATCCTTTTGTGGGTTGCTATACTGATGTTTCGATGTTTCATTCCATCTTATGCCCAAGGATTGCCACCTCCCAACTGCCTTTTCCTGTTTGACAGGCCGCTGCGAGCCAGCCTGTCAGTGAGAAAGCGTGATTTTTTGGACTTGAGAAAGTAGGACGTATCAGCTGGAGACGTCACCGGCATCATTCTGCTCACTTTCCATATCAAAAGGTCATTTGTCGTTCACCTTGTGTTCAAATCATGATTTGTTGCCACTGGTTTGGTCGTGCAGCTGATAACATGTGACAATGCACTTTCCCTAGTCGATCCCAATCAATTTTCCGCAGACTTGACCAAGACTGCGCCTGTTTCATGTTTCACAATTATCAAAAGGATCGACCGAATCCCGAAAAGAAGCGGAGACACATGAAGCATTGCAGTCCATGAGAAGGCGGAAAGACGGGACCGATTTTTAGCCCCGAAAAAGAAAAAGTTTAGCTCTGAAATGTTTTTTTTAGCCACGTAAATAAGTCTAGCCACGAAAAGTCAACATTTTAGCCACGTAAAAAGAAAAAAAACTGAAAAAAAAAGAAAAAAGAGAGGAAAAAAAAGAAAAACAGGAGAAAAAAATGCAGAAAAGAGAAAAAAAAGAAAAGAAAAAGAGTAGAAAAGAGAAACAAAAAAAGAAAAAAAAGAGAGGAAAAAAAAAGAAAAAAAGGAGAAACAAATGCAGAAAAGAGAAAAAAAAGAAAAGAAAAAGAGTAGAAAAGAGAAACAAAAAAAGAAAAAAAAAGAGAGGAAAAAAAAGAAAAAAAGGAGAAAAACATGCAGAAAAGAGAAAAAAAAGAAAAGAAAAAGAGTAGAAAAGAGAAACAAAAAAAGAAAAAAAAGAGAGGAAACAAAACAAAGAAAAAAAGGAGAAACAAATGCAGAAAAGAGAAAAAAAAGAAAAGAAAAAGAGTAGAAAAGAGAAACAAAAAAAAAGAAAAAACAAGAGAGGAAAAAAAAAGAAAAAAAAGAGAATAAAAAAAGAAAAAAAGAAAAGAGAAAAAAAAGAGAGGAAAAGAGAAAGAGAGGAAAAGAGAAAAAAAAGGGGGAAAAAAAAAGAAAAGAGAAAAAAACAGAGAGGAAAAGAGAAAAAAAAAGAGAGGAAAAGAGAAAAAAGAAAAAAAGAGAGGAAAAGAGAAAAAAAAAGGGAAAAAAAAAGAAAAAAAAGAAAAGAGAAAAACAAAAAAGAGAGGAAAAGAGAAAGAAAAAAGGAAAAGAAAAGAGAAAACAAAAAAAAAGAGAGGAAAAGAGAAAGAAAAAAGGAAAAGAAAAGAGAGGAAAAGAGAAAGAACAAAGGAAAAGAAAAGAGACGAAAAGGGAGGAAAAGAAAAAAAAACAAGAAAATTTCGTGGGTAAAGCTCTTACGCAGCTAGTTTTTATTTCGTGGCTAAAAAAAAAATACGTGGCTAGAGAATCCTGGAAAAATTATGTGGCTAAGAAAGGCTGCCGCGGAAAGACGGCACAGAATCATCTGCAAAAAAATGCCTGATATACTGAGGAATCTCAAGATGATAAACTTGTAGCGAGCTGGCGGGTATGCTTGGACGATGCCTAGGATTTCAAGGTTTGTGTCCGAGCATCGGCTCAAAGCAGCTGTCAAGGAAACCATATCCAAAGCACATCCAGATCAGGGAGGGACGAAATCTATGCTTGCCACTGAAAGGAAGATGTCTACCACAAACCAACATGGGGGTTTCTAAAATGGGGGATCCCCAAGTCATCATAGGTTTCAACCCTAAACTGGGTCTAAGTTTGGATGATTCGGGGGTACTCCCACTTTAGGAAACCTCCATACGTTTACAGCGCACCAACATGTTCCTAGAAACGTTGCGCATGTTGCGCACCATGACTTAGCCATCGCACCGAAGATACATTGCCTCCGATGACCTCCTTTTCCGACGCCGCTGGGTGAAACGCTGAGAGTGGGCAAAGCAGCATTTCATTCAGCACTGAGCAATCCATATTCATGGGGTTTCCTAAGTCATGGGGCTACCCCCAAATCATCCATTTATAGATGGATTTTCCATTATAAACTACGTATAAACCATCTATTTCGGGGTACCCCCATGGATTGGAAACCCCCATATGGGGTACCATGACTATTCACGCCTTTTGACTACATGTGCTTTCCTTGACATATTAACCATTTGAGTTGTGGCAGGAAAATCGTCATTTCGTGTCCATAACCTGTCAGGAGCTTAGTCAATTGAGTTCCATTCCCGCCATGGGTCGTTTTTAACCTTCCCCAAATGGGAATCATCGGTCGACAAACAGATGCTGAATGATGCTGAGATACTTCACCGACTTTACCACACTTTCTCAACATGTGCCAGGTTGGCTTTCCCGTCAAAGGAGGACGTTTTCATTCCGTGCGCCAAAGCAACTCTACAAGGTAGGCCAGGTAGGCATAACAGGGGAACAAGATGCAGCACAGCAATGCTTGCCTTGATCTTTCACCTTGGTTCATTGGAATGCCATGACCCCAGCCGGTACGTGAAGCACACATTCCTCTCATACCGTACCCACCAGAGAGATCTCAGGGACGAGGACTATGATCGTGCACTGTTAGGTTTCATCTTCCTGCCACCATGGGAGCAACAGGACGGAGCCGCCCGGCGGAAGATCAAAGTCGAGCATTTCTTTGCTATTCCCGGCAGGCTGGGGGGTGAGCTCTGACATCAAACCGCTTGGGTTTTTCTGAACTTTCAGACACATGGCATGCTGCGACAGGTGCACTCGCTCATGTTCAAAGTGGAGACTCTACCACGTCCAAAGGAAGAGCGTGAAGGTTGGAATTTGGATCATTTTGGATCATGTTCGCTTCACAATTCAGGTCCAGGCTTGACAAGGGTGCAAGCATTGGCAAGCGGCAAGCTAAATATATCTACGTATATATCTATATTTATCTCTATATCTATATCTATATCACTATCTCTATCTCTATATCTATATGTATATACTGTATATCTATATCTATATCTACAACTATATCTCTATATCTATATCCAATCTATGTCTATATTTACCTATATATAACATTCTAAAACAAACATGTTTGTAAAAGGATAGGAGAGTGGGGTATGGGTTTAGCTTGCACCATCTGCATGCTTTGAGTGCCTAGGAATGGCATGCAAGACACAGTTCATCATCTTCTATACCTGAGGAGATGGAGTCCATGAGTGAGTCGCTGCAAGAGGATTGGGGGCTGTGGATTCTTCGGGGTCTTTGTGGTTTCCAATTTTTGAGGAGTTGAACATGGCTGTCGCAAACATTATCAAATGTCAGAGACTCTATGGCTCCGTGTCAGGTATCTTTGTTGCCCTGAGAAAGACAACCTGCTCTTGAGAGACATGTGAATCTTTATCTCATAGTCCTCTCTTCTGTGATCGTTGAGTGCAATCGCCTGACCACGGAAGGGCGTTTCGAGCCCTACGGAACTGCAGCTTGAGGCGCAAGACTCAGTCCCCGAAACGCTGAAAAAAACAGTGTGAAAAGAGGTGGCAACAAAGGCAGCATCAGCTCCAACTGCCTGGAATTCCTTTCGGCTTCAAAGCGGCATGAGTGGAAGTGTTGAACCTGGTACGATGGTTATGGAACATTGGTGGGGGCACTCAAAGCTAACCTGACGGTGTTTCCCAGCTCTCCAAGGTGACAGCGGCAGATTTCTGCACAGTGAGCGGCACTTTTCGGTTTTCGGGTGAGCCTTGGTCTCCCCTTTTCCAGTTGCACCTGTCAGCGGGCAAAAGATCCGGGAGGAGATGGAGCATCTGGAGCATTTGGAGCACTTCCCCCGGGTCTGATTCACCTGAGAAGGAGTTGATGGCATTGAGGGTTTGTTGTTTGTTCTGTGTTTTCCACATCATGACGGATGACGGAGCCAATTTGCTCGAGATCACTGGATCTTTCCCGCTCGTTGTTTGTCTGCGTTGCACCGTTGCGCCCAAGATGAGGGTGGAGACGGAGATGTTTCATGTGAGTTCGCTCTTGTCGAAGTACGCTGAGTACAGTGAGGCAGAGCTGACGCGTCAAATGTCTCAACTTCTCAGTTCCAAAGCCAACCTGACGGAAGCTCTCGGAGTGAGTGCCGAGCTCGGTGGCATGATCCAAGCATGGAGTGAGGAGCTGATGGACTCGAAGGTTTTGGAGCTGGACTCGGGAATAACAGGGGTCGGCATCCTCGTCATCGGCATTCTCGTTGTTGTGACCGTCGGGTTCTTTGGTCTCCAGGCATGTATTGCTTGTAATCGTGCCTGGGAGTATCATTTCGATGAGAAGAGAGTCCGTGAGAGAGCCCGTGAGAAAAACAAGAGAATCCAGGAGAAAAAGGCCCGGCGCCATGCAGCCGCCCAGAAGTTCTACATGAAGAAACTCTGGGAGATGAAGTTTGGCAAGGGCTCTGGTGATGATGTCCAACTTTGCCTGGATCAACTTTCATCGAAAGGCATCTTGATATTGTTTGTTCCTTTTTGTTTCTCCCTCAACAGCAACATGCTTTGGGGTCTTCAGTGATAGCAAAGGTCTCGGAGCAGATCTGGAGCAGTGCTAGAATCGATTCCCGCAGAGGATTCTCAAGTCAGGTTCCAGGGTACTCAAGTAAGGTGCCGATAAAATGTTCAATTGTAGTTTCCAGATCAGGTTCCATCAAGGTTCGCAAGTTCCCAGATAGATTCCCAAGTCAGGCTCCAAGGTTCGCGAGTAACTTCCCGGATAAAGCTCCCAAGTAACGTTCTCAAGTCTGCAGATAAGATTCCCAAGCCAGCTTCTGCAGGTTCTCAAGTGAGGTTCCCAAGTTCCCAGATACGATTCCGAAGTCAAGCTCCAAGGTTCGCAAGTACAATTCCCAAGTTCCCAGATAAGCTTCGCAAGTCAGGTTCCAAGTTCCCAGATTGACTTCCTGCCATTAAGGTTCCAGTTCCCAAGCACAGGTTTTAACTTGAGGTTTCCATTTTAAGCTCTCCAAGCTCAGGTTCTCAAAGATGGTTTCTACTCACAGGTTCCAGGTTGCAGGCCCCAAGTCAAGTTCTTAGGTTCCCCATCGACCTCGTAAAGGATTCGCAAATTCTCATGTAAGCTTTGGCAGGTCTTCCGGTTTTCAAGTAAGGTTCCTCGGTCCACGAGTCAGGGTCGGGGATTTAAGTCTTCAGGTTCCAAAGTCCATCAAAAAAACATAAGGCCCAAAAGTCAATGTCCGATGCTCCAAAGCTGTACAAGGGTAGATTTTTGCAGCATTTTGCAATATGAAAATACATTCTGCAGTTCGAAATCAGTTTTCTTGCTATCATGTTGAATATGCTGCTGGGGATTTAAGAAGTGATTGAACCCCCGCGCCCAGGTGGCTTGTGATAGTCCCTTCTGATACTTGCTGCAGCCTGCGTAAAACACAGCTTCAGATATGTAACTATAGAAAAAGGTGAGGCATTTGGGCATGTGATGCGTATGATTGCGGGTGTGACGACGTTTACGGTGAAAACAAATTTGTGTCTTCAATTGTTGGAGTCTTCGTGTTTTGGGTTGGCTGATGAAATGCTGCATTCCACTAGCATCCAAAAGACCCATCTTTCTGACTTCGCAGGTGCCTCCTTGATTAAAGCAGCGGGGCAGAATCCTTACCAATTGCGGCAATTGTTATTGCGGTCCGAGTTTAATGGAATCAAGGTCTCTCCCCGGCAGCAGGCAGGGGTTTTGAAGCCATGTGAAGCCCCAAAATTCCTATGTGTTGGTGAAATTTGAAAGGTTTGCGCATGTTGGAACCTGACGAGGTGAAGATGTTGCGTACAGTCTTCACGGCCTTCATGGCACATCACGGAGCCACCATTGCAGAGCGCGGACTCGACCAACTTGGGGTGGGAAGTTGCGGCAAGGCCCCGGATTTGAATTTGAGAAAGTTCTGAAGTTCCTCATGTGGGATCCCAATCTTTCAGTCTCAAGATTAGGTGAACCAAGAGTTCCAGACTTGCAGCCCTGTGATTCCATCCCAAGATATCTCAAGCCAAAGAAGAGATTTCGTGTTGAAAGGAGAAGGCTTGACTCGGGAAGCCTCCCCCTGATCAGCTATGAAAAGGGGTTATTCGGGTCATGGCACGTCATTTGTGAAGGTTTTCTGTGCTGGTGACTTGAACTTTGCACTTGATGAGTCCGGACTTTACCGCTGTGATTGGCAGTGTCCCGCTTCTTACTTGCCAGACGCTTGGTCAGATGGTGTATGACTTTGGTCATGGACACACCCATTGCACGATTGGAAAACAACATGTAGCCATTCACAATCATTCACAGGGCCTTGAAAGATTGAAATAAGAGTGGCAGCTTGCTGATTGCCTGCTGTTTCTTTTCAAACTGATCGAAAACGACATTTGCCCGCAGATTGACGGGTTAAACCTATAGGTAAATTTGAGTGCCAGGATTCCTTCGATGCGCTCGAGACCTCGATGAAGACTACCTTCGCTGGACTCGTAAACTCCCATTCCGACCTCGTGGAAGAACTTGGAAAAAAAGACACATATCACAGCGCCATCAAGAAGTCAGAGCTTCGGCGTATGATCAAGGCCATCAAAATCAAGAACATGAAATACTATGCTTCCGACCCTTGGTCTCCGGAATCTCTGAAGATTCTGAAGATGCCAAATGCCAGCACCTTTTTGCCTTTGAAACACTTTGGTTCCCTGTACTACAAGGGCACTTGCATTCCAGAGCGAAAATATTTTAAGAAGCATGATGTGGCTATTGTGACTTCCTCGACCACCAAGCTCCCCAAAGGAACCGTGGTGAAACTTGATCGCGTTGTGACATCGGGGGAAGACTCAGGCGCTTGGTTCACACAGGGTAAAGTGCAGAAAAAGTTGTGGTTGCCTGATCTCAGCTTCGGCCTCATTCCGGTGCGCATGGATGCTTGGGGCAGTTTGACAGCTACAAATCGGAGCCATCCTTTCGTTCAAGACCCTGTTGACCACCGCAAAATGTACTATGTGCAACCGTGATGCCCTGATCGCTCAAAGGAGAAGCTTTGAGGCCTTGATTTCAAGCGGTAGGTGGAGAGCACACAGAGGCTACAGCATGCTGGATAGCCTTCGCTTGATCCCGGGACTGTGACAATGCCAGACAAAAAACGCTGTCAGGCTGCGGCTGGTTCGGACTGATGTTTTTGCTAAGAACGAAGCTGTGCAGGTGAACGTGCTCCTGTTGACCGTGTTCAAGCTGCATTGCTTAGAGAAGCAGCTCCTGTAGCTTCAAAGCATGAAAGAATTGCTGACAACCCGGCACCGGAGACCAGATCTGTAAGACTGCACCCCAGCAAGGTAAATGATGTAATTTGAAATGTGAGAAATGCCAAACTTTCTGGGCAACTTGAATCATGGGATCCCCCAATTTCCTCAATCACTGCGTATGTTTTGCATCAGGATCTTCAAGACATGATCTCTGCCAGACAATGTCGTTGAGGCATTTGCCCTTAAGCCCCAGCTATCAGAACAGCCCTAGCACTGAAGCCATCTCAGCATCTAACTTGATGGCATGGAGACCTTGCCAGAGAGCTCAGGTTCCCGAAGTCAGAGCCCTCCAAAGGCAACTGTTTTTTTGCCTCCATGCTTCGAAAACAATGATTAACGGATGGTTATTCCCCACATTGACGTGTGGGGTTTTTGTTTTTAGTTCTGTATCCGCCGCCTCGCCCGCCCGCCCGCACGCCTCCTCACTCACTCACCTCACTCACCTCACTCACCTCACTCACACACACACACACACTCACTCACACACTCACCCATTCACTCACTCACTCACTCACTCACCCACCCACTCACCCACTCACCCACTCACCC